TTGAAACCAGTATTTATTAAGCACCTATTATGAGTAGGGCCTGGACTAGTGGTATGAGGAAAACAAAGCCTTCTAATAAGCTCCTTCTCTCTGTAGACACCAGTCCACTGGAAGACACAAACAGGTACACAAATAACTACTATTTACTTAGGATATGTGCCTAACAAAGGAACAGTGAAGGTGTAAATGGAGAACACTGGATTCTTACAAGGAGAATTGTAAGCTTGGAGAAGTGTAAGGTTGAATCACAGCAGAAATAAATCAGATTGTACACTCATCAAAAATCAGATGGGAAAAGGTTATGAGGATGGAAAAATGTGATTACTGATCAGGGAGGGTAAGGTAATAAAAGCAAACTAAATGTAATGAGATTGAATCAATGCATGTAATGCTATTTTTTAAAAAGGCAAGTCAAATAATTCACTACTGATTCCCCACCAGGAAGGGAAATAAATACATAAAGTTTGTGGTATGAAGGTGTGTTGACTTTAGATTTTATGAGCAATTTCTTTATCCCCTCCTCCCCCATAAAAATAGTTCCTCTGAAAACTATTGATGGAAGAAGAGGCAGGTCTTCTGTAAGTTGAACATGAAGGTTATTATCAGAAGAGACCTCCGTCCCTCCTGGGTGCAAAGGAGTCATCTGGTAGTTAGATCCCAAAGAGGACGTTGATATCAAAGAGGTATAAAATGAAAACCCCTCCTTTATAGCATCATGTGTCTGGGATAGTAGTTCTCAAATCATGGACCCTGGACAGCCACAAAACTTCATTTGGGAACCTGTTAGAAATACAGGCTTTATGCCAAACCTACTGAATCAGAAACTCTGGGGTTAGGCCCAGCAATCTGTTTCAGCAAGCCCTCTGAGTAATTCCGATAAATATTTGAGAATTTTGAGAGTTTGAGAAGATGTCAAAACTGAATGCCGTCTTTAACTATTGTAACCAGCTGAAGCTGAAAAAGGAACGTCAACTTCTAGTGAGCCCTCAACCAGACCCTCACTGGGCCTAACTAAAGACTCTCCATATCAATGGACAGTGGGGCTTGTTTTAATGGATCACGTTGATCATGGGAACCATTCTATCCAAAGAATTAGTTTGGCTCCATTCTATCCAAAGAATTAGTTTTCAACGCTTACTTAGCATGACCACCTTGAATCCCCTCTACCTTTCTAAAGCACTTACAAATTCTGACTTTTTCCCCTCAGCAAACTAGTCGCTGAATTTTTTTTTTTTTAACTGATGAGTGTTTTCTTGTCAGGCAAAGAAATAAACTTTACTCTGCTTTTTTATTTTTACTGTTAAAGCTCTGGTGGTCTTTGTTTCATTCTTTTACAGGGACCAGGCAGTTAGCAAGTGACTCTGGGATGTAAGTTTGCTTTTTCATCCCTAGACAAGTTCTTTAGACCTATATTCTAATCCTTGTGTCAACCCAAATTGTTGGAAGGCCTTGGGCAAGCTACTTAACATCCCTGAAAGTCAGTTTTCTCATCTGAAAAGAGCAAGCAGGTAATTATCCTACCCACCTCAACTGGCATAATGGCTGTGAAATTGCTAAGTGGGAAGTGGATACACATGTAAGCATTATTATCATTTTGTGGGTCTTTCTCAACACTGCACTCAGTACATTCAGTGTCCCCCCCCCCCCCCCCCCCCCCGCCGCACCTCATCAGAGCACCCCACAGGGAAAACCTGTAGTCTGGGCATGCTCCAGACTCCTCTGGAGGCCCAGTCAGCAGGGCAACCATCATTGTTTTAGAATTACTCTGGGTGAATGGAATAGCAGAAAACATTCCAGCCTGAGGGATCATGGATAAAGACATTAGATGACTATAAGAATACATTATAGACTTTCCATCAGAACTTGGAAATGACCTGGCAAATCTGTGTGTAGTTTACAATAAGAAATGTTCTTCTAATCCTTGGAATGAGCAATTGGCCTATAGAAAATCTTCTGAGCTTCCCCCAAAGGCTATCCAATGAAGTGTTCTGTATGCAGAGTATCGCATTACCTGACACAAACAAATAGGGTACAGCTGATGTCAGTGTCTAGTGGTCCTAGGAAATAAACTGCTGCTTCTGGTAAATAGGTGGTAATTTATGTTGAATTATTTGCTAAGGGCCAAATTAGTCCCTTGTAGTGTGCACAGCATTTCTGAAGAATTAAAAATAAATGTTTTTCTGCTTAAATAATACCATGATCCAAAGCAATTATAACTGTAATGTATCTGACATAGGAATGATCCTAACACTTCCCCAGGGCCTTTACGAATAAGAGGATCTTTCTAAAGCATGCTAATGTTAAAAAGAAAGTAGATCTCTAGGCTTAGCTTAAAAGAGGCAAGAAGAGTATAAGTTCAACGAAGAAGGGAAAGTAACTTATTTATCTAGCACTTACTGTGTGCCAGGCACTGCACTAAATGACACACGTTAACCTTATCCTCACAATAATCTGTGAGGTAAGGATATTCCTCTCATTTTAACAGAATAGGACACTGCGGCTCAGAGCAGTTAAGCATCTTCCACAAAGTCAAACAGCACACAGTTTATGGCAGAGCTGAGATTCAAATTCAGTAAGTGGTCTCATCTAGACAGTTGCGACAGCCCCGGTGCCAGAGTTTCCCTGTGCTCCTCCAGATCCTCTCTATACACTTCTCCATCTTACTCTGTTCCCACAAAGGCTGCACCAACTTGCTTGCTGGTTTCCCATTGTGTTTGGCCAGTAGAGATTATTGGCAGGAGGTGTGAAAAAGGAAGGAGAGTAAGGCAAAGGTTTTTCTGCTCCCCTCCCCAGCTCGCTCCTGCTCCACCAACCAAAAGTCTTAGCTCCTCTCTGCACAGGATGCTTCCTCTGCGTTTTGATAACCACTCCCTCCTCTGAGGGCCTTACACCGTGGCCATGCCTTCTCAGATGTCCCGGTTTCAGTGTGCCTACAGTTACAGTAAATTTTAGCTCCACCAGCTTATAAGACATCAAAGCTTGGAAATGACGGCCCCTCCATTTTGTTGTTGTTTTGTTACTCGTTCTGATTCAAATGAAGTTGTTGAAAGATGGACACATTCTGTGTGTCCTCTACAGTGTTCTAGCTGAACAGCTCCTGGTTCAATGTTTAGAGAGTGTCTTTTCCTCTGGCTACAGCTCCCCGAGAGAAACTAAATGGTTTTTATGAGCAAAAGCACCTCACTGAATCATATGTGGTTTCTGAATGATGGCGTTCTGAGTTTGTTGAAAAATAATCACAGAACCTGACATTTATACAAAGTTCTATAGCTTTACATTTATTACCTTCTGTTTAAGGGTATATTAGAAGCTAGATGCATGTCCAGAAAAAAATAGCTGAACGTGAAGCTACAGTAGTTATTTTTTTAAAGACAGGTAATGTCCGAACTCTCATCAAGACACATAATAGCTGATGAGTGCTAACTCACTCCTGTTTTCTGAGTGAACTCATTACCCGTGACTTCAGAAGAATAAAGAGGAAAGGGAAGCAGACTATTAAACAGGACAGATGCAATAAGTAGTTTTGCACATTAATGCTATATAGGAACAAATAAAATCTTTGGTGATCAGCAAATGTAATAGTCCTAACATTTTTAAAGATGTCACTCTTAAAAGTCTAATGGCATGCATAGATGGGCAATAATTTTTTTAAAATTAGTTTCATCATATTTTTGTGCTTGAAATGACACAGCATTTTGGAATCATCTTACCTGAATATAGTTATTCTATTATTAGAAAATTATAGCACTTAACAAAAGAAAGGAAGATAGAAACGGGTAATGTTTTAAAATATGTTTAATTATGAAATGTCCCCTTTAACCTCTAGCAATACTGCTTACCTCAACATCTACTTTGTCTGATATTAATTTCACAACATCAGATTTACTTTGATTAGTATTTGGGTAGGATATCTTTTCTCATCCTTTTATTTTTCAATCTTCCTCATCTTTCTCTCTAATGTGTGGCTCTGGTTAATAGCATTTAGCTGGTTTCTGTGTTTTTATTTGCTCTGACAAACTTTGTCTTTTAATTGGATCATAGACCATTGACATTTAAAATAATTAATAGTTAATGATACAGTTTAAGTCTAACACTTGCTATTTCTCTCCTATCTGTCCTCTTGTGCTTTGTTCTTTTATTACTCATTTCTTGCCTTTTTTTTTTTTAACATCTTTATTGGAGTATAATTGCTTTACAGTGTTGTGTTAGTTTCTGCTGTATAACAAAGTGAAACAGCTATATGCATATGTATACCCCATATCCCCTCCCTCTTGCATCTCCCTCCCACCCTCCTTATCCCACCCTTCTAGGTGGTTGCAAAGCACCGAGCTGATCTCCCTGTGCCATGCATCTGCTTCCCACTAGCTATCTATTTTACTTGGTAGTGTATATATGTCAGTACTACTCTCTCACTTCGTCCCAGCTGACCCTTCTCCCTTCCCGTGTCCTCAAGCCTATTCTCTACATCTGTGTCTTTATTCCTGTCCTGCCCATAGGTTCTTCAGAACCAGTTTTTTTTAGGTTCCATATATATGTATTAGCATATGGTATTTGTTTTTCTCTTTCTGACTTACTTCACTCTGTACGAGAGACTCTAGGTCCATCTACCTCACTCCAAATAACTCAATTTCATTTCCTTTTATGGCCAAGTAATATTCCATTGTATATATGTGCCACATCTTCTTTAGCCATTCATCTGTTGATGGACACTTAGGTTGCTTCCATGTCTGGCTATTGTAACTACTGCTGCAATGAATATTATGGTGCATGTCTTTTTTTTTAAAGTAAATTTGTTATTTATTTATTTAATTTATTTTTGACTGCGTTGGGTCTTCATTGCTGCCCGTGGGCTTTCTCTAGTTGCTGCAAGCGGGGGTTACTCTTCATTGTGGATGAGCTTCTCATTGCAGTGGCTTCTCTTGTTGCAGAGCACGGGCTCTAGGCGCGCGGGCTTCAGTAGTTGTGGCTCATGGGCTCAGTAGTTGTGGCTCACGGGCTCTAGAGTGCAGGCTCAGTAGTTGTGGCGCACGGGCTTAGTTGCTCCGCGGCATGTGGGATCTTCCCGGGCCAGGGCTGGAACCCGTGTCCCTTTGTATCTGTCTTTAAGGTGGAAGCCGATAGCACTCTGCGTAAACAGATGGGGCAAAGGTCGAGGGGACGCTAGTCAGCTTCTTCCAAGTGGTTGGAGCCTTGCGTCAGGCATGCGAGCCACTGGCAGTGCTGAAGTCCATAGATATGTCCAATCTCATGGGTTAAAGTCTTATAGGACCAAAGCAGCAAAACACTAGTCACTTCAGGAACATAATAATTATCAAAAACTGAGTAGTCACTTGAAGATTTCTTCTGCAGCTTCTTCAGTTTGCCTTTGTAGTGTGAGCTGTAAAAATCACTGCCGCACCTGGCAAAGCTGAGTATCTCCACACCATCTGTCAAAGAGGCCTGTCCAAAGACAAAATTCCAGGAGTCTCTTGGGTAAAGATCGATCATTGTTATTCCCACAACACAAAAAGCATCTTCAAGTTTCTTCTTTTTTAAGACCTTCAGGATCTGCCCTGCATGAATCCGTAGGTTCTGCGTGTTATCATTGATTCTAAAGGAACATCTCGTTGCAGAGACAGGAACTGGTTCTAGGAGTTTTACCGTCAAGCCATAGAAAAATGCTTCACAGTAGCCCTTGAGCCATTTCACATATTCTTCACTGATACTTCTGGTGTTTCCTAGCAATCCAATGCACTGTATATAAATATTGTGCTTCTGTGGAGAAGGTGTCTTTCTGTAAGGATCATTGAAAAACTCTTCAAAGTCTTGGGGAGCCTCAGGATGGGAGGTTATCCAGTCTGACTGCGAATGCAAAATAATGGGTCCAAAGAGATCTGTTTGGCCGGAAGGCTTCGTCCATCAGACGCTTTTCCCCAGCATCTAACTTCTCATACTGTGACACAAGCGCTGGGTTCTTTGAGATGAGAGCTGTCTTTAGTCTGTGTTCAGAGTGCCGTACTGTTCGCATAGTGACAGGCCTCTTCCATTCACATCGCGTGCCTGTGAAGAGATTTCATCCTTCCCTTTTGAACGGGTCAGACAGCTGTTCCACCACGAGGCTTCAGGGAGAGGACGGCTCCTCTCAAGTTTCTGCCTCACCAGAACCGGCATGTCTGGGTCCGGTCAGGAGCACGTGGTGCGGGTGCCTTCACCCCCGTCACCCTCACGCCATCACTGTCTTCCCGCCGGGCGTCGACGTCACCCGCCCTGCGCCTTGCCCTGCACTGTGCCCTGTGCCCGACACCGTGCCCCGCCCCTTCGCGCTGCATGTCTCTTTTTGAATTATGGTTTTCTCAGGGTATATGCCCAGTAGTGGGATTGCTGGGTCGTATGGTAGTTCTATTTTTAGTTAAGGAACCGCCATACTGTTCTCCATAGTGGCTGTATCAATTTAATTTAAATTAAAATTTAAATTCCCACCAACAGTGCAGGAGGGTTCCCTTTTCACTAAACCCTCTCCAGCATTTAATGCCTGTAGATTTTTTGATGATGGCCTTTCTGACCGGTGTGCAGGTGATACCTCATTGTGGTTTTGATTTGCATTTCTCTAATGATTAATGATGTTGAGCATCCTTTCATGTGTTTGTTGGCAATCTGTATATCTTCTTTGGAGAAATGTCTGTTTAGGTCTTCCACCCATATTTAGATTGGATTGTTTGTTTTTTTGATATTGATCTTCACGAGCTGCTTGTATATTTTGGAGATTAATCCTTTGTCAGTTGCTTCATTTGCAAATATTCTCTCCCATTCTGAAGGTTGTCTTTTCGTCTTGTTTATGGTTTCCTTTGCTGTGCAAAAGCTTTGAAGTTTCATTAGGTCCCATTTGTTTATTTTTGTTTTTATTTCCATTTCTCTAGGAGGTGGGTCAAAAAGGATCTTGCTGTGATTTATGTCATAGAGTGTTCTGCCTATGTTTTTCTCTAAGAGTTTTATAGTGTCTGGCCTTATATTTAGGTCTTTAATCCATTTTGAGTTTATTTTTATGTATGGTGTTAGGAAGTGTTCTAATTTCATTCTTTTACATGTAGCTGTCCAGTTTTCCCAGCACCACTTATTGAAAAGGCTGTCTTTTCTCCACTATACACTCTTGCCTCCCTTATCAAAGATAAGGTGACCATACGTGTGTGGGTTTATCACTGGTCTTTCTATCCTGTTCCATTGAGCTATATTTCTGTTTTTGTGCCAGTACCATACTGTCTTGATTACTGTAGCTTTGTAGTATAGTCTGAAGTCCAGGAGTCTGATTCCTCCAGCTCCATTTTTCTTTCTCAAGATTGTTTTGGCTATTCGGGGTCTTTTGTGTTTCCATACAAATTGTGAATTTTTTTGTTCTAGTTCTGTGGAAAATGCCATTGGTAGTTTGATAGAGATTGCGTTGAACCTGTAGATTGCTTAGGGTAGTATAGTCACTTTCACAATGTTGATTCTTCCAATCCAAGAGCATAGTATATCTCTCCATCTGTTTGTATCATCTTTAATTTCTTTCATCAGTGTTTTATAGTTTTCTGCATACAGGTCTTTTGTCTCCTTAGGTAGGTTTATTCCTAGGTATTTTATTCTATTTGTTGCAGTGGTAAATGGGAGTGTTTCCTTAATTTCTCTTTCAGATTTTTCATCATTAGTGTATAGGAATGCCAGAGATTTCTGTGCATTAATTTTGTATCCTACAACTTTGCCAAATTCATTGATTAGCTCTAGTAGTTTTCTGGTAGCATCTTTAGGATTCTCTATGTATAGGATCATGTCATCTGCAAACAGTGACAGCTTTACTTCTTCTTTCCGATTTGGATTCCTTTTATTTCTTTTTTTTCTTTGATTGCTGTGGCTAAAACTTGCAAAACTATGTTGAATAATAGTGGTGAGAGTGGGCAACCTTGTCTTGTTCCTGATCTTAAAGGAAATGGTTTCAGTTTTTCACCATTGAGAATGATGTTGGCTGTGGGTCTGTCATATATGGTGTTTATTATGTTGAGGTAGGTTCCCTCTATGACTACTTTCTGGAGAGTTTTTATATAAATCGGTGTTGAATTTTTTCAAAAGCTTTTTCTGCATCTATGGAGATTATCATATGGTTTTTATCCTTCAGTTTGTTAATATAGTGTATCACATTGATTGATTTGCATATATTGAAGAATCCTTGCATTTCTGGGATAAACCCCACTTGATCATGGTGTATGATTCTTTTAATGTGATGTTGGATTCTGTTTGCTAGTATTTTGTTGAGGATTTTTGCATCTATGTTCATCAGAGATATTTGCCTATAGGCTTATTTTTTTGTGACATTTTTGTCTTGTTTTGGAATCAGGATGATGGTGGCCTCGTAGAATGAGTTTGGGAGTGTTCCTCCCTCTGCTATATTTTGGGAGAGTTTGAGAAGGATAGGTGTTAGCTCTTCTCTATATGTTTCATAGAATTTGCCTGTGAATCCATCTGGTCCTGGGCTTTTGTTTGTTGAAGATTTAAAATCACAGTTTCAATTTCAGTGCTTGTGATTGGTCTGTTTATATTTTCTATTTCTTCCTGGTTCAGTCTTGGAAGGTTGTGCTTTTCTAAGAATTTGTCCATTTCTTCCAGGTTGTCCATTTTATTGGCATATAGGTGCTTTTGGCAATCTCTCATGAAACTTTGTATTTCTGCAGGGTCAGTTGTTACTTCTTTTTCATTTCTAATTCTGTTGATCTGAGTCTTCTCCCCTTTTTTCTTGATGAGTCTGGCTAATGGTTTATCAATTTTGTTTATCTTCTCAAAGAATCAGTTTTTAGTTTTACTGATATTTGCCATTGTTTCCTTCATTTCTTTTTCATTTATTTCTGATCTGATACTTATGATTCCTTTCCTTCTGATAACTTTGGGTTTTTTGTTGTTGTTGTTTTTCTTTCTCTAATTGCTTTAGGTGTAGGGTTAGGTTGGTTGAGATTTTTCTTGTTTCTTGAGGTAGGACTGTATTGCTATTAACTTCCATCTTAAAACTGCTTTGCTGCATCCCATAGGTTTTGGATCATCGTGTTTTCCTTGTCATTTGTTTCTAGGTATTTTTTGATTTCTTCAGTGATGTCTTGGTCATTTAGTAGTGTATTGTTTAGCCTCCATGTGTTTGTATTTTTTACAGATTTTTTTCCTGTAATTTATATCTAGTCTCATAGTGTTATGGTCGGAAAAGATACTTGATATGATTTCAATTTTCTTAAATTTATCAAGGCTTGATTTGTGACCCAATATATGCTCTATCCTGGAGAATGTTCCATGAGCACTTGAGAAGAATGTGTATTCTGTTGTTTTTAGAGGGAATGTCCTATAAATATCAATTAAGTCCATCTTGTTTAATGTGTCATTTAAAGTTTGTGTTCCCTTATTTATTTTCATTTTGGATGATCTGTCCATTGGTGAAAGTGGGGTGTTAAAGTCCCCTATATTATTGTGTTACTGTCGATTTCCCCTTTTATGGCTGTTAGCATTTGCCTTACGTATTAAGGTGCTCCTATGTTGGGTGCATAAATATTTACAACTGTTATATCTTCTTCTTAGATTGATCTCTTGATCATTATGTTATGTCCTTCCTTGTCTCTTGTAATAGGCTTTATTTTAAAGTCTGTTTTGCCTGATATGAGAATTGCTACACCAGCTTTCTTTTGATTTCCATTTGTATGGACTATCTTTTTCCATCCCTTCACTTTCAGTCTGTATGTGTCCCTAGGTCTGAAGTGGGTCTCTTGTAGATAGCATATGTATGGGTCTTGTTTTTGTATCCATTCAGCCAGTCTATGTCTTTTGGTTGGAGAACTTAATCCATTCACGTTTAAGGTAATTATTGATATGTATGTTCCTATGACCATTTTCTTAATTGTTTTGGGTTTGTTTTTGTAGGTTTTTTCCTTCTCTTGTGTTTCCTGCCTAGAGAAGTTCCTGTAGCTTTTCTTGTAAAGCTGGTTTGGTGGTGCTGAATTCTCTTAACTTTTGCTTATCTGTAAAGGTTTCAATTTCTCCATCGAATCTGAATGAGATCCTTGCTGGGTAGAGTAATCTTGGTTGTAGGTTTTTCCCTTTCATCACTTTAAATATGTCCTTCACTCCCTTCTGGCTTGCAGAGTTTCTGCTGAAAAATCAGCTGTCAACCTTATGGGGATTCCCTTGTATGTTATTTATTGCTTTTTCCTTGCTGTTTTTAATATTTTTTCTTTGTATTTAATATTTGATAGTTTGATTAATATGTGTCTCGGCGTGTTTCTCTTTGGGTTTATCCTGTATGGTACTCTCTGTGCTCCCTGGACTTGATTGACTATTACCTTTCCCATGTTAGGGAAGTTTTCGACTATAATCTCTTCAAATATTTTGTCAGACCCTTTCTTTTGTCTTCTTCTTCTGGGACCACTATAATTCGAATGGTGGTGTGTTTAATGTTGTCCCAGAGGTCTCTGAGACTGTCTGCAATTCTTTTCATTCTTTTTTCTTTATTCTGTCCCTGGCACCAGTTTATCTTCCAGGTCACTTATTTGTTCTTCTGCCTCAGTTATTCTGTTATTGAATCCTTCTAGAGTATTTTTAATTTCAGTAATTCTGTTGTTCATCACTGTTTGTTTGCTCTTTAGTTCTTCTAGATCCTTGTTAAATGTTTCTTGAATTTTCTCCATTCTGTTTCTGAGATTTGGATCATTTTTACTATCATTACTCTGAATTCTTTTTCAGGTAGTTTGCCTATTTTGTCTTCATTTACTTGGTCTTGTAGGTTTTTACCTTGCTCCTTCATCTGTAACATATTTTTTTGTCATTTCATTTTTGTTTTTTTTTGATGGGTGATGCTGTATTCCTGTCTTACTGGTTGTTTGGCCTGAGGTGTCCAGCACTGGAGTTTGCAGGCAGTTAGATAGAGCTGGATCCTGGTGCTGATATGAGGACCTCAGGGAGGCCTCACTCCAACTGATATTCCATGGGTCTGAAGTTCTCTGTTAGTCCAGCGGTTTGGACTTGGAGCTCCCACCACAGGAGCATGGGCCTGACCTCCGGCCTGGGAACCAAGATCCTGCAAGCTTCATGGCATGGTTAAAAAAAAAGGATGAAAGAAAGAAAAAAAGGAGCAGTAAAATATCAAAG